CAACTGTAGTATCCACACACCAACCATCTGAGTACAAGTACTGTACTTGCCACTTCCAGGACTCAAGTCCGACGAGAAGGTTTTCCCTGATTCCTTTCATATATATTACCTAGCTCACACTACAATAGCACGTCAAACCCTAAAAAAAAACCTTTGTCTCCGTCCCGATCTAAGACATTCACACACACGCTTGCTAGGTGCTCAAACCCACCATAAACGCTCTTTTTAACCCTATTTTCACGTCAAACCTTAATACCACATAATTATTCAATTTCATCATATGTACCCTCTCCTCTATTATTATCTCAGCTCTTTCTTTATCTTTATTTCCTCAGTTACATCCGATTTAACACTATTTACCCCCCGATTATAATTCTCCCACTCATTTTGCTTCTCATAGTTCCAGGACATCTGTGTATATTCCTGATCAATCGGAGGTTATTTCAAATATACTTTCTCATGTGTACTAAAGTTTACACTTTGAACAGTAATGTTGAAAAACTTTGACAGTCTTTGGGGTCGACCGAAAGGCAAAGATATAAATTACAATATACCTCTGTGTTAATCCCGCTTGTTTCTGTAGCTCTTGGAGGGGCTATAAGCCCCATTGAAAAAAAGAACAGTCCCTTGTTTTTCTACAGACCTTAGAGTGTCTTAGACCCCAGGAAAAGAACACAAGACCTTTCTTTTCTCTAGTCCCTGGAGTAGCTATAGGCCTCCAGGAAAAGGAGACAGGACCTCCTCATTTCTCCTGTAGCCTCTGGAGAAGCTATTGGATCCAAGAAAAGGAGATAAGAACATAAGAACATAAGAATAGAGGAACACTGCAGAAGGCCTACGGGCCCATGCAAGGCAGGTCCTAGAGTGGTCCCAGCAGAAGCAGCTGTTTGAGAACTCCCAGTTCAGTATCTCTCAGTTCTGGGAAGCATGAGAGAGAGAGAGAGAGAGAGAGAGAGAGAGAGAGAAAGAGAGAGAGAGAGAGATACTGCCACGGGGCTGCGGAAGCTGGGTACGTCAGCGAACATTACACCTCGTCACACAAAAGGTTACACAAGACAGAAAAACAATAGCAAAATACACAGTAATTGAGATGATGGAAGACGGAATACCAACACACGGGATACCAACACATTGAATACCAACACACGGGATACCAACACACGCTGGCAGGGTCATACAGCTTCTGAGGAATAGAAGGTAACTAGGTTTGATCGAAAAAAAGGGAAGATTGCTATAATTCCTTGGATTAAAAGCCCTGTACTAACATTACGACACCGCTCATAGAGGTGTAAACAGGATAAATATCCTGATGTTTTCGGGGAAGAGATGGATACACATTATTATTATTTTATTTAAAGGAAAGCGCTAAACTCATAGAGGTTATGCATTGCTTTTGGGAATGGGAGGCAATCAGATTCGATTCTAGGAATGAGAAGGGTCAGATCCAGTTCCTTGAGTCAAGAGCCTCTCACCTTGGACACACATTATGTCAATTGGCTATGTCCTCCTCCTCCTCCTCCTCCTCCTCCTTCTTTTCCTCTGATTTCCCGTCCTTCGCATCTTTGCTCTTGCCTTTTCCCTCGTCTAACCACTATTCCTTCCGTTCAGGCATCAAGATCGCCCTGGCGCTGACGGAGACGCGAGCGTTCAAGAAGTTTGGTTCCAGGTTCTACACGCGTCCCATGCCAGGCTGTGAGTACGCTCCTCTCTGGACCGACACTTACTGGGAGTGCCTGGCACGGCACTACACCTCTACCATCTACCACCCCGTGGGCACCTGCAAGATGGGACCCTACTGGGACCCAGGAGCTGTAGTCGACCCAGAACTCAAGTATGGATAAGTTATCTTGAATTTTTTACATTGACTTAATTAAAATTTGTGGGAAGGTGGTAATTCATTGTATGGTGCATGAGAAGTGATCAGGTTTGTTCCCTGGAAGAGAAGGATGCTTCCAGTTCCCGGATCAAGAGCTCTTCTCCAGCTCTGTATTGATACATATGCATGATTTTTGTGGTTTGTGTGTGTTTTCTTGTTTTATTAACTACAGCTGTAGGAGTGGAACGGAACTGTGCGCATTAATACACCACGCAAAAACAAGCGAGTATATACAAAGAATAATCGCAATCAGCAGAATCCGAAGCCACGTTAGGAAGGCTGGTAAGGTTCCCAAGTGACGCTCTACACCACAAATGCATTGACATAAAAAAATTAATTTGTGAGGTCCAAACATACAGGAAAAAATTATTTGAATCCATGCTTGAGGCGTGCCCGGACTGGCGAAACATGGCTTATAAGCAAGGTTACCCAGTTTTTGATGCATCTCTGGCCGAGTGGCATAGAGCGTCACTTGGGAACCTTGCCAGCTTTCCTAACGAGACTTCGAATCCTGTTGACTGTGATGTGTGCCCGTAAATATCATGCCTACATGGGTAGAGATCCAGCCCCTAGCCTCCACTCCCCCTTCAATTATCATTACAACTGTTCATCCCTCATTATCACAGTCTATTTCAAGCTACATTATTACAGTTTGTGTTAGTTCCCCGGCCCTCATACACATTTACTGCAACATTGTTGTCACTTTCAGAGTGTACGGCATCTCTGGTCTCCGTGTGGTCGACGCCTCCATCATGCCCACTCTGGTCTCCGGTAACACTAACGCTCCTGTCATCATGATCGGCGAGCGAGGATCAGACATCATCAAGCAGTACTGGTACACCAAAAGATGATGACGGCCGCCATAGCTCCCGCTCTCCTGGCGGCCATATTTGAAAGGCATTACCGGAAGAGGAGATCCAATATTATGTCCCTTCCCCGGAAGCTTTAATTTTGGGATTCAACTCTTCTAAAACTAAAAAAAAAAAGAGCATCTCAGCCGTCATTGATGGAAAAAAATTTAGATTACTTTTTCTTCATACGGTCAGTTGTATGACGTATGACTGTCGCTGTATGAGAGTTGTATGAGTGTTAATTTATAATCTCTTTTCCTTCCTCAGTACTGGAAAATGTACTATGTATGAATGATTTTTTTTTTTGTAAAAACCAAGTGTGACTTAATGGTTATTTTGGAAATCAAATACTGTGAAGCATCGCATCTTCATTATTATTATTATTATTATTATTATTATTATTATTATTATTATTATTATTATTATTATTATTATTATTATTATTTATTATTGAATATTTTAGACACATTTGGGTGTCTTATTTCTTGCTCATAAAAATGACCAAAGTGAAGATAGGCTACAAAGAGAGACGTAAATCTCTCAATGTACATACATTAAAAATTCCATTTAATCCCTATTTTGGGGGATCCAAATATCCTTGATGTTAGTCTACAGGTGAATTTACTGCCCTAATGACCAACCTGTGGTCAGTAGGCTGATTAAGCTTACAAATTAACATTCTTCTGGATTCATCTTGAAATAGAGAAGACTCAGGGAGGCAATGATACTTCTTGTGTGACGGAAATTATTGATTTTCCTGAGGCATTTTGTCATTGGAGCTCTGGTCTGTGACCGGGCCGCAGAGGCCATGATTCCCGGGGACCGATAGCAGATATATCAATATCAGATATATCAATCTTGATATTGAAGGGAACAGCTGGATATCTGTTGATTTGGTCTGTTTGTGAAGCCTATTGAAGTTGCTGCTTCTAAGCCTAATAAGTCAGAGGTGTGTGTGATGTGTGAACTAGTGTTGTGCAGGTGTATGATGCCCGAACTCGCGGTGTACAAATGTTTCGTGTATATTGACGTGTTAAAAAATATGGCCAAAATATCTTTGCTCAATGATGTGGCCATCGTGGCCTACTGAGTGTGACTGGTGGACGAACCTGTTAACCTAAAAAAATTTAACCCCAAAAAGGGAAAATTTTCCTTCTACGGACATGCTTCGGATGAAAAAAAAAAAAATTTCTTCTACGGCGTATCCCCCTTTCGTAAAGAACTTCTCTGACGTGTTAGAACTGTTTTTGAAGATGCTTCTATCACGTCAAGGCTGTACTGATAGACACAACCGTAGAAAGTAAAATCCTCATTTAAATTCGGAGGCCTAACCCTTTTCAGCAGGCCTAGGGTCCCACCACGTCTTCCGGTCACTCTCATAATCTTGTGAAGAGGGGTCCCAGGTCACAAAAGAGTGTTAGTTAACTAATTTTTAACTCACAATATCCAAAGCCAGTATAATTTTCTCCCACGACTTAGCAAATCTTTGTGTTTATGTGGAAAGAAAGAAAAGGGTTGTACCATAGACCATTTTTATTTATATTAGATTAGATTGGGTTAAAGGAATTGATTAATTTTCGAGGCGCAGAGTGTTTGCACTACGCACGCCAACCGGTTTTAATTTCATTATTCCATCTTTCTGCTATATTCCGGACACTGTTTCCCCTTTTTTCCTGTGTCCCCAAAAAAAAAAAAAGGGGATTTTTTATATTTTAAGCCATAAAAAAGGAAACCAGTTTTTTTAGAAATTTTTAAATTGAAAGTTTTTTTTAAGGATCATAGGGGAAAGCGTAAACACAGGGGGCGAGATTGTGTTTTTTAAATTTTTTTTTTTTTGTTTTTTGGGTGTGGGGTGTTTTTAAAATTAAAATTAGGGGCCCCTTTAAAAGGGTATGAAAACAATAACGACGATGAAGAAATAGACGGTGATGTATAGCGTCAGTTTAATTTTGCCAGTCACTGATACAGGGATTTAGCAAGGATAAGTCTCCTTACCCTATGACCCTTTTTGGCTATGAGTAAAAAGATACCCAGGATTAGTTAATTGTTGTGGGTCGCATTTTATGGAAACCCAATGAAAACCCAAAAAATCCCACTATTTGATTTTTACCTGGGTTTTAACGCTCCCACAGGATAGGCATTGGCAAATTGAGCTATTTTTCATCAGTTTGTTGATCGGGGTACGGAGATTTCATAGAAAAGGGGAAAACTACATAAATTCTCGAGTTTTTTTACCTGTGCCCAGGGGCTTCAATCTTCAAAAGCAAATGAAACCCCCGGTACAAGAAAAACTTACACGAGCTCCCTTTTCCCCTGACGTTTCATACATCTTTTCCCCTTTTTTTATCTCAGGATGGAAAAAAAAAAATTTCTGCTTTTTTTATATTAATTCGATTCTTGCTGAAAATAAGACACCGACATGTTCCAAACATTCGTCAAGTCCATTCTCAGTTTTTGGTGGGTTTCCCGGTGCGACGGTTTGTGGGGGGTTTTTTTTTAAGTACGGGTGTTTTTTGGTGGTGTTTTTTCAAGTACGGTGTGTGTGTGTGGGGTGTTTTTCAATACGGGTTTTTTGTGGTGGGGTTTAAACAAGTACGGTGTGTTGTGTGTGGTGTTTGTCAAATACGGTGTTTTTTGTGGGGGTGTTTGTCAAGTATGGTGTGTGTGTGTGGTGTATTTGTCAAGTACGGTGTGTGTGGGGTAGTGTTTGTAAAGTACGGTGTGTGTGTGTGTGGTGGTGGGTTTGTCAAGTACGGTGTGTGCGTGGTAGTGTTTGTCAAGTACGGTGTGTGTGTGTGTGGTGTTTGTCAAGTACGGTGTGTGTGTGTGGTGGTGTTTGTCAAGTACGGTGTGTGTGTGTGGTGGCGTTTGTAAAGTACGGTGTGTGTGTGGTGGTATTTGTCAAGTACGGTGTGTGTGTGTGGTGATGTTTGTAAAGTACGGTGTGTGTGCGTGGCGGTGTTTGTCAAGTACGGTGTGTGTGTGGTGGTGTTTGTCAAGTACGGTGTGTGTGTGGTGGTGTTTGTCAAGTACGGTGTGTGTGTGGTGGTGTTTGTCAAGTACGGTGTGTGTGTGGTGGTGTGTTTGTCAAGTACGGTGTGTGTGGTGGTGTTTGTCAAGTACGGTGGTGTGTGGTGGTCGTTCCTCCACATTGTGAGCCATACAGTGTGAGCCATACATTGTGAGCCATACAGTGTGAGCCATACATTGTGAGCCATACAGTGTGAGCCATACATTGTGAGCCATACAGTGTGAGCCATACATTGTGAGCCATACAGTGTGAGCCATACATTGTGAGCCATACAGTGTGAGCCATACATTGTGAGCCATACAGTGTGAGCCATACATTGTGAGCCATACAGTGTGAGCCATACATTGTGAGCCATACAGTGTGAGCCATACATTGTGAGCCATACAGTGTGAGCCATACATTGTGAGCCATACATTGTGAGCCATACATTGTGAGCCATACAGTGTGAGCCATACATTGTGAGCCATACAGTGTGAGCCATACAGTGTGAGCCATACATTATGAGCCATACATTGTGAGCCATGCAGTGTGAGCCATACAGTGTGAGCCATACATTGTGAGCCATACATTGTGAGCCATACATTGTGAGCCATACAATGTGAGCCATACATTGTGAGCCATACATTGTGAGCCATACATTGTGAGCCATACAGTGTGAGCCATACAGTGTGAGCCATACATTGTGAGCCATACATTGTGAGCCATACATTGTGAGTCATACAGTGTGAGCCATACAGTGTGAGCCATACATTGTGAGCCATACAGTGTGAGCCATACAGTGTGAGCCATACATTGTGAGCCATACATTGTGAGCCATACATTGTGAGCCATACATTGTGAGCCATACAGTGTGAGCCATACATTGTGAGCCATACATTGTGAGCCATACAGTGTGAGCCATACATTGTGAGCCATACATTGTGAGCCATACAGTGTGAGCCATACAGTGTGAGCCATACAGTGTGAGCCATACAGTGTGAGCTATATATTGTGAGCCATACAGTGTGAGCCATACATTATGAGCCATACATTGTGAGCCATACAGTGTGAGCCATACAGTGTGAGCTATATATTGTGAGCCATACAGTGTGAGCCATACAGTGTGAGCCATACAGTGTGAGCCATACAGTGTGAGCCATACAGTGTGAGCCATACAGTGTGAGCCAGTGTGAGCCATACAGTGTGAGCCATACAGTGTGAGCCATACAGTGTGAGCCATACAGTGTGAGCCATACAGTGTGAGCCAGTGTGAGCCATACAGTGTGAGCCATACAGTGTGAGCCATACAGTGTGAGCCATACAGTGTGAGCCAGTGTGAGCCATACAGTGTGAGCCATACAGTGTGAGCCATACAGTGTGAGCCATACAGTGTGAGCCATACAGTGTGAGCCATACAGTGTGAGCCATACAGTGTGAGCCAGTGTGAGCCATACAGTGTGAGCCATACAGTGTGAGCCATACAGTGTGAGCCATACAGTGTGAGCCAGTGTGAGCCATACAGTGTGAGCCATACAGTGTGAGCCATACAGTGTGAGCCAGTGTGAGCCATACAGTGTGAGCCATACAGTGTGAGCCATACATTGTGTACCATACACTGTGAACTAAATTTATAATGAATGTGAGCCATAATTCCATTTGTACTAATATGCTCTTGTTCGTTGTCTGTGTTCTCTCTCTCTCTCTCTCTCTCTCTCTCTCTCTCTCTCTCTCTCTCTCTCTCTCTCTCTCTCCTCTCCTCTCCTCTCTCTCTCTCTCTCTCTCTCTCTCTCTCTCTCTCTCTCTCTCTCAGCGATATCTCACACGTGTTTTCATTTCCTCACTACGTGTTATATTTATTCTGCAAATGGATAAAACACACGTACAATACATGTGTAATAAAAATAGGCAGGTGTTGCACATGTGTCTTATTCATCAACTCGCAGGTGTTGCTTTCCATTAACGTGATGATTCTCTTACACAAGACCGAAAAAACACTTTTTACCATTGTGAGAATTCATACAACGTATGGCGACTCATACATACCACTACGGCGACTCATGTATACTCATGTATACTCATGTATACTCATGTATATTCCATCATTGTGTTTGTGTATCATTAATGTGTAAATTATTTGTGTCAATTATTAAATGCTAATTTTTAAGTGAGGTGTTTGTTTGTCCTTATATGAGGCGCTTCTATCTATATATCCCTCCCTATATCAATCTATATATCTATCGCTATATCTGTCTGTATCTATGTCTTTATCTATCTGTATATGACCGAGACCCTGATAAGTCTTATCTAACCTCACCTTTGGTACCAGGGGAAGATAAGGTCTGAAAAAGCCATCGTAGGCGAAACGTTTCCTTTATAGTGTATCCTAATTACATCACCTGTGTCTTTCTTCACGGCTCCGGTACCAGTCTTGCAAGACACCTGTGTCACAACCACTCACGAAACGTTGCAGAAATATTGCATAGCTGACGAAGCTTTTAAGTATCGATATTTTACTCATACGAGACTTTATTAAACTTTGATGAAGATTCATGTAAGCGAAACGCACTAATTACGACAAAGCACTATGCGCTCTTAATTAAGCAGTACTTAGTTTCACACCATAGTATCAAGAACTCCTAGATAGGCTCGGGAGACGCTGAGAAGGATCAACAACGCATACAATGCATCATGGGCAGCTTCGAGATACAATGATTACCTAAAAGGGTGATTAGAAATGCTTTCAGAGAATCAGGAACGCCTTGGATGATCAGGAGTGATTTTGGAGGCTCGGCATCGCCTTCGGAGGATTGAGAGCGCATTTAAAGAATCAGGGACGCTTCGGAGGATCAGAATGATGTCGTAGGATAAAGAACACTTGGATGAGGCACATCTATGGAATATGAGAAACGCCAATATGCACATGATTTAAAATATTCATAATTCTTCCTCCTCATACGTCTGTCTCTCATTTTTTTTCCTCCATATCTTTACACCTTTCCTCTTCCGTATTTGTGCAGTTCTTATTCTCCGCTGACCCCCATCGTATTTCCCAGCTCTTTTCACTCTTTCTCATCACTAATGTCTACAATGAACTCTCATTGTTTTACTGAAGTTACCCACCTTGTACGAGCCCCACCCAGCGTGGTGAAATATGACTGGGAAAGACAAAATAATATGAACACCTGCTGACTTAACTGTTGAAGGACTGAAAAATCAATTTAAATGTATTACAGGTCCCTTGTTGCGCCATCTTCCTAAACGATAATGCAACAATTCACATCGCTAGAGTTGTTTAAAATTGTCATGAAGAACATAAAAGTGAAGTCGATCACTTGGATTGGCTCTCACAATCGCCGGATATAAATATTATCGAGCATCTGTTGGGTCAGTTGGAACAGCAAGTCAGAAACTGATTTCCTCCACTGTCGTCTCTGGAAGAGTTAGATCAGGTTTTGCTTGAGGAATGGTTCCAAATTCCCCTGGATGCTGTTCAGATGTTATAAGAATCAATTCCTCAATGAACTGGTGTTGTTTTTAACTACAAATGGAGGACCAACTCCCTACTGAAAATAAAAAAGTTATGGAATAAGGTGTTCTTATTATTTTGTCCAGCTCCTACATACCCAGCTTTTGTTCCCACTGTGCAGTTATCATACAGAATAGGGTAGAAGCACACTGTTCATGTACGGAGTTTTTATTAACAAAAAAAAGCAAAAACAAATGCCTGCTCCTACTAGCCATAGCCTGGTCGAGACTGTCTCTGCTTCCTTGGAATTCACAGGTTCGAACCCAATAGCGTTTCACAAATATTTATTGTTTGTGGAACGCTATGGTCTGGTTGATATAGTCAGTTTGTAGTCTCGTCTGGGAGTCTATGGCTCAAGTACACAGACTTGGAGATTCAAATCCTCCTTCTCCTCCTCCTCCTCCTTCTCCTCCTTCTCCTCCTTCTCCTCCTCCTCCTTCTTCATTCGTCTCTGCTTCTGCTAGCCGCTCTTCTGGAAATACGTCTGCAGAAGATACTTGGCCATCTTGGAAATCTGAGCTTCCTGGTGATTTTGCAGTGACGATAAGGTATTGAGGCCGCTATAACTCTCCATAATACGCACCAGAGTATCAACCTTCTCCGTTTTCTGTGGAAGAAAGTGGGAAAACAGTAAGCTTGAAGGAATAAACATTTTAAATATATATTAGGGCGTCATGTGTTTTCGCCCACAATGAGGCAGGCCAAAGCAGCATGGGTTCGAGTCCTTGGCTAGTGCAGTGTTGTTATTGATCAATACCACTCGTTCGTGGTCACAATAATATAAAATACTTCTCGTTGTACTAGTACACCAAACAGGGACTAGAATGAAATTAGCCTAGAGTCATCCACACCATCGTGTGTCCTTGGGTAAGATAAGATAAGAGTTCGTTCGGATTTTTAACCCCGGAGGGTTAGCCACCCAGGATAACCCAAGAAAGTCAGTGCGTCATCGAGGACTGTCTAACTTATTTCCATTGGGGTTCTCAATCTTGTCCCCCAGGATGCGACCCACACCAGTCGACTAACACCCAGGTACCTATTTGCTGCTAGGTGAACAGGACAATAGTGTAAGGAAACGTGTCGAAATGTTTCCACCCGCCGGGAATCGAACCCGGGCCCTCCGTGTGTGAAGTGGGAGCTTTAGCCACCAGGCCACCGGGCCACCTAGCGAGTACAACATGCAGTTCCGCTGGATGCGCTACTTTTAAGGATCGTATGGTCCAGTGGATTAGGGCGTCATGTGTTTTCGCCCACCATGAGGCAGGCCAAAGCAGCATGGGTTCGAGTCTGGTAAAGTGTATGGTAGAGTTATTATTGAAAGAATTAAGAGTAAGACGGAGAGTAGGATAGGAGATGGACAAGGAGGCTTTAGGAAAGGTAGGAGATGTGTAGACCAAGTGTTTACAGTGAAACATATAGGTGAACAGTATTTAGATAAGGGTAAAGAAGTTTTTGTGGCATTTATGGATATGGAAAAGGCATATGACAGGGTGGATAGGGGGGCAATGTGGCAGATGTTGCAAGTATATGGTATAGGAGGTAGGTTACTGAAAGCAGTGAAGAGTTTTTACGAGGATAGTGAGGCTCAGGTTAGAGTATGAAGGAGAGAGGGAGATTATTTCCCAGTAAAAGTAGGCCTTAGACAAGGATGTGTGATGTCACCGTGGTTGTTCAATATATTTATAGATGAGGTTGTAAGAGAAGTAAATGCGAGGGTCTTGGCAAGAGGTGTGGAGTTAAAAGATAAAAAATCACACATAAAGTGGGAGTTGTCACAGTTGCTCTTTGCTGATGACACTGTGCTCTTGGGAGATTCTGAAGAGAAGTTGCAGAGGTTGGTGGATGAATTTGGTAGGGTATGTAAAAGAAGAAAATTAAAAGTGAATATAGGAAAGAGTAAGGTGATGAGGATAAAAATAGGTAACGAAAGATTGGATATCAGATTGGAGGGAGAGAGTATGGAGGAGGTGAATGTATTCAGATATTTAGGAGTGGACGTGTCAGCTGACTGGCCTATGAAAGATGAAGTGAATCATAGAATTGATGAAGGGAAAAAGGTGAGTGTTGAGACAAAGGAGTCTGTGGAGACAAAGAACTTTGTCCATGGAAGCAAAGAAAGGATTGTATGAAAGTATAGTTATACCAACGCTCTTATATGGGTGCGAAGCATGGATGGTGAATGTTGCAACAAGGAGAAGGTTGGAGGCAGTGGAGATGTCATGTCTGAGGGCAATGTGTGGTGTGAATTGTTACAAAAAACGCGATTCTAAAAGCTTAGAGATCTCCAGTGAATACTAGAAAGGACTGCCCTTCTAGCATCCAGCCTGTTACTGGGTTTTCGTAACAAGTAGTCAGTATCCTTGTCCAATTATCCATTAAAATTCAGTATTATTCAATAGTTCTTCAGGATTACAACTGGTAGGCTACTAACTAGAGAAATTAAAATTTAATAAATTTATTAATCATTAAGTTGTCTAGAGGTATATTATCAAATTAAATTAATCAATCACAGTAATGAAAATAATATCAATCTCTCGAGTTCAATATTATTGTGCTGAAAGCACATATCACATTTATAATTCTTAAGTACCGTCTGGTACATTAACATTTAATAAGATATTACAAATATGTACAAGTAAGTTTGTGTATGCGTGTAAGTGCTCTAAGTAGTTCAATATGTCTCACGACTCGACTAGACTTAAACAAGTGACTGGCAAAGTCCTCACATAAACTAACTTCTTGACCGACTGGCAACCAGAACAGTCTGCTTGAACAATGAAAAGAATGCTAAGCCCAATAGCCATATAACAAGCGACTGCGACACAATCAGGATCAAGGAGATAATATAACGACACTAAGTAGGGACCATCAGCAGATCCTCCACAAAAGTTACAAAACTCCCATACTACATAAGAACATAAGAACATAAGAAAGGAGGAACACTGCAGGAGGCCTGCTGGCCCATACTAGGCAGGTCCTTTACAATTCATCCCACTAACAAAACATTTACCCAACCCAATTTTCAATGCTACCCAAGAAATAAGCTCTGATGTGAAAGTCCCACTCAAATCCAACCCTTCCCACTCATGTACTTATCCAACCTAGATTTGAAACTACCCAAAGTCCTAGCCTCAATAACCCAACTAGGTAGACTGTTCCACTCATCAACTACCCTATTTCCAAACCAATACTTTCCTATGTCCTTTCTAAATCTAAACTTATCTAATTTAAATCCATTACTGCGGGTTCTCTCTTGGAGAGACATCCTCAAGACCTTATTAATATCCCCTTTATTAATACCTATCTTCCACTTATACACTTCGATCAGGTCTTCCCTCATTCTTCGTCTAACAAGTGAATGTAACTTAAGAGTCTTCAATCTTTCTTCATAAGGAAGATTTCTGATGCTATGTATTAATTTAGTCATCCTACGCTGAATGTTTTCTAACGAATTTATGTCCATTTTGTAATACGGAGACCAGAACTGAGCTGCATAATCAAGGTGAGGCCTTACTAATGATGTATAAAGCTGCAGTATGACCTCTGGACTTCTGTTGCTTACACTTCTTGATATAAATCCCAGTAATCTATTTGCCTTATTACGTACGCTTAGGCATTGCTGTCTTGGTTTAAGGTTGCTGCTCACCATAACCCCCAAGTCCTTTTCGCAATCTGTATGGCTAAGTTCTACATCATTTAATTTATAAGTACTAGGGTTATGGGCACTCCCAAGCTTCAGAACCTTGCACTTATCTACATTGAACTGCATCTGCCACTTTTCTGACCAAGAATAGAGTTTGTTTAAATCCTCCTGAAGTTCCCTAACATCTACGTTTGAATCAATTATCCTACCTATCTTTGTGTCATCGGCGAATTTGCTCATATCACTAGTAATTCCCTCATCAAGATCATTGATATATATTATAAACAACAACGGGCCCAAGACTGATCCCTGTGGAACGCCACTTGTTACAGATCCCCACTCGGATTTAACCCCATTTATGGACACTCTCTGCTTCCTGTCAGTGAGCCATGACTCGATCCACGAGAGCACTTTTCCCCCAATGCCATGAGCTGCCACTTTCTTTAACAGTCTATGGTGCGGAACTCTATCAAAAGCCTTACTAAAATCTAAGTAAATAATATCAAATTCTTTATTGTGGTCAACAGCCTCAAAAGCTTTACTGAAGAAAGTTAATAAATTAGTTAGACAAGACCGGCCTCTTGTGAATCCATGCTGAGTATCATTAATCAAGCTATGCTTATCGAGATGGCTTCTTATAATCTCAGCTATAATTGACTCTAGTAATTTGCCTACAATTGAGGTCAGGCTTATTGGGCGGTAATTTGGTAATTTGACGGTAAAGACTTGTCCCCTGTTTTAAAAATAGGAGTTACATTAGCCATCTTCCACATATCAGACACTACACCTGTTTGAAGAGATAAATTAAAAATATTAGTTAATGGTTCACAGAGTTCCATTTTGCATTCCTTAAGAACCCTTGAAAAAACCTCATCAGGACCCGGCGACTTATTTTGCTTCAGTCTGTCTATCTGCTTCACAACCATTTCACTAGTGACTGTGATGTTACATAATTTATCTTCTTCTAGCCCACTGTAAAAATTAATTACTGGAATATTGTTAGTGTCTTCCTGTGTAAAAACTGAGAGAAAATAATTATTTAAAATCAAGCACATTTCATTCTCATTGTCAGTAAGGTGCCCATAGTTATTTTTAAGGGACCTATCTTATCTCTAACTTTTGTTCTATAGACCTGGAAAAAACTTTTTGGGTTAGTTTTAGAATCCCTAGCAAACTTTAATTTCATAGTCCCTTTTAGCTTTTCTTATCCCCTTTTTAATGTCCCTCTTAATGTCAATATACTGATTCATAAGATGACCCTCACCTCTTTTGATACGCCTATAAATTCCTTTCTTATGCCCTAGTAGATATTTGAGCCTATTATTCATCCATTTTTGGGTCATTTCTATTTGATCTAATTTCTTTATATGGGATAAACGCTCTTTGAGCAGCATGTATAGTGTTCAGAAAACTGTCATATTGATAGCTCTCTTCGTTACCCCAGTCAACAGATGATAAGTGTTCTCTAAGCCCATCGTAATCTGCTAAGCGAAAATCTGGGACTGTTACTGAGTTATCGCTACTATCGTACTTCCATTCAATGCTAAATGTAATTGATTTGTGGTCGCTAGCACCCAGTTCCTCTGAAATTTCTAAATTATTAACAAGGGATTCATTGTTTGCCATAACTAAGTCAAGCAGGTTATTTCCCCTTGTAGGTTCTGTCACAAACTGCTTCAAAAAACAATCCTGAAATACTTCTAAGAAGTCGTACGATTCTAAATTCCCAGTCAAGAAATTCCAATCAACATGACTAAAGTTAAAGTCTCCTAGAATTACTACATTATCGTGCCTTGTGGCCTTAACAATTTCCTCCCATAGTAGTTTCCCTTGGTCCCTATCTAAGTTAGGGGGACGGTATATCACTCCTAAAATCAGTTTTTCATGCCCCTCTGAAAATTCTATCCAAACAGACTCTGTATGTGTTACTTCAGACTTAATACCCGTTTTTATGCAACAGTTCAAGCGATCTCGGACATACAATGCCACCCCACCCCCCTCCCAATACTTCTATCTTCTTGGAACAATTTAAAACCCTGAATTTAAAACTACTGAATCTAAGTTCAGCATAGGAAAAACCCAGACTGTGACAATACACAGAAACCAGTACAAATTAGGTCATAAGCTATAGCTAAGGACCTGAGATGTTCAGAGTGTCTAAGTGACACACAACCTCAGTACAACGTCGAAAATCACTAAGTCTATACAATGTTCTGTGAACAGAGTTCTACAGAACTAACAAGAATAATGAGACAAACAATCTGTCCAACCACCAAGCGAGTCTCGAGCAGACTCAATACTTTACGAGAGGTGAGGACACCCCCCCCGTCCCTCGATCACGTGATAGCCCCGTGGACAGCACAGCTCGGAAGCCGGCAGTATAACGAGCGACAAGCGATAATTACAGTAGTTTGACAATCAAGACTTGAACTGAGCACTTAATATGTAACATCCTAACAATATGTAATATGTAACATCCTAACAACATAAGCTACGTCAAATAACAATATAAAGCAATATATTTACGATTTAGCTATTATCGCAAATATAAGCAATATAAAATTAAATGAAAAGGTAATATACATTATATATATACATAATAATCATTGTAACCCATTCATGGGTTGCAACATGAATATAATGCAGAGAATTCTTAGTTTGGAAATTAGGAGGAGGTTTGGATATGTAGAGAGGATGAAACGAAATAATATGACTTCGAGAATATATAAATCTGTAGTGGAGAAAAGGTGGGGTAGAGGTCTGCTTACAAAAGGTTGGAGGGAGGGGGTAAAAGAGGTTTTTATGCGAGGGGCTTGGACTTCCAGCAAGCATGCGCGAGCATGTTGATAGGAGTGTGAGCAAGATAACATTTATGAAGGGATTCAGGGAAACTGGCAAGCCAGACTTGAGTCCTGGAGATGGGAAGTACAGTGCCGGCACTCTGAAGGAGGGGTGTTAATGTTGCAGTTTTATAACTGTAGTGTAAACGCGCCTCTGGCAAGACAGTGATGGAGTGAATGATGGTGAAAGTTTTTTTTTTCGGGCCACCCTACTATGGTGAGAGACGGCCGATGTGTTAATAATATATATATATATATATATATATATATAATATATATATATATATATATATATATATTATATATATATATATATATATATATACATAATCCAGAATCAACCTCGAGACGATTTCTTTGATCAGGTGTCTCGTAGCTTGGTTGGTAGAGCAGTCGGCTCACATTTTGAGGTCCGTGGCTCGATTCCTGGTACAGGTGGAAACGTTTGGGTGTGTTTCCTGAAGACACCTGCTGTCCCTGTTCACCTAGCAGTAAGTAGGTACCTGGGTGTTAGCCAACTGGTGTGGGTCGCATCCTTGAGACAAAATTAACCTAAGATGCCCGAAATGCTCTGCATAACAAGTACATGTATGTCTTTGTGTCACTGATGTAACTAGGTCTGTGTAAATTGTACTTGTAACAAAAAAAAGTATTATTCTTAAGAAGTAACTCGGAACTCAGCAGTAGAGTGTCCGGCACATAATCAAAAGGACCCATGATCGATTTAAGCAGGGAATTATAGCTAACTTTCCATTCCTTGTATCGTAATTGATTGTTTCCCATTGTCCAAGGCTCTGTACGAAGCCTTACTGCATTAACTGTTGGTAACACAGGAGGCTCAGTCCTCTGACATCCCGGATGGGCAATGATCCACTTCACTGAGCAGGTAAGACCATGGAACATACACTCATACCTTAAAGATGTTGTTGACAGCGTCGAGGGCCACAAGCACCATGCCAGGGTCGTCGCCAGCCATCACCCTGCAGAAGGAGGCCATCACGCCAGTATTCACCAACACTGCTGCCTGCTCCGTCGTACAACCAGAGGTCAGGTTAGATAAGGCCCATGTCGCTTCCTTCCTCAGCTCCTCGTCATCCTAAGGCAGTAAGAGTCTCTCACATACACGTCAGTCAAGACTTTGAATACCTCTTAGTGAAATTTCGTTTCACTATTTCGACTTTTAAGTTTACATCCACAAACGTCAACATCAGGCCTTGAATCCTAAGCCGACCTAACTTAAAGGTTAGGCATCTAACTTGAATATTAGATCCCCTATCTTAAATGCTAGGCCCCTTAACTTGGATACTAAACCCTTTAACTTGGATGTTATGCCCCCTAACTTAAATACTCTGCTCAACTTGAATACGTGACCCCTTTATCTAAACGCCAGACCTCTCTAAAATTAAATACTAGTCCCACTAACCTGAATACTAGGTCTACTAACTTGTATACTAGGTCCACTAACTTCAATACTACGTAAGTCCACCAACTTGAATACAAGGATGACTATCTTGAATACCTCACCCTTGAATACTAGGCCCCGTAACGTGTAATCATGACCCAGGACTGACCTTCTCGACGGCAGCGATGAGAGCTGGTACCACCTGAACATCAATGACCAGCTGGATGTGTCTGGTGGTGCCAGCGGTGATGTTAGAGAGTATCCAGGCAGCCTCTCTGCTTACCCCTAGGTTTGGATTGTTCAACATCTCTCTGTAGATGGGCAGCGCACCCGCCTGTACCACAGCGTCCGTCTGGAATGGCATGCACCTTGACAGTAAAGGTGTTCTATACATACTGGCGAAGGACTCGTGGTCCAAGGAACCGGAGCTACCTTCCCCTTCCTAATAGTGCCAATATTCGCCAATTTTCAATATTTGGTTTTAAAATCGGAAAAAATACTTTTTAGAAAATACTCAAAAAAAAAAAAAAATAAATAAATAAAAAACGTAAAAATGTAGCAAAATATTAATAATTTTTATTTTGTAGATATTATTAAGGTTTTAGCTGAATTCATATTCTTGAAGCTGCGTATGTATTTAGCCCTCTCCACTTCCTCATACAACTCATTCCGCTAATAACCTGTTCCCGAGACTAAAGAAGTACATCCTTGCATTCCTATGTCTCATTTGTGTCTTCAGTTTCCACCTGTATCCCCCTGGATCCAGGACACTTTAATTAACATCGTCCATGCTTATCAGCCCTATCAATTTCTCTTTCAATTCAGTACGTCGCACTCATGTCTCCCCTAATGCGACAGCAGTGTGCCGTGGACACTTGTTGACGAACTGATCAACTAAACTTAAACACAGAAACAGTGTAAAAAGAGGCTGTTGATTTCAAGTCTGTCTCAGAACCTCGTCTGAAGACGATCTCAGACATCGAAATATAGTGTCCGTTGTTTACATGTGCATTTTCTCAACTAGTATCTTCCTTACTTCATTAGCAGCTTACTACCCTAGTCTACCTCCGTCAGTAGCTTACCTGTTCGTTGGTTCCTGCTGCCACGCTGCCGGTGGCCCTGAGAGCGGCAATGACCACCTTCTCCTGGTCTGAGTAGAGACGCTGGACCATATCTCTCACCAGACCACACTCCACCAGCTCGTCAACGGCCTTAGGTCCCATATCAGCGTAGTAGGCCACGCCCCAGAGTGCGTCAGCTGCACCAGAGGGAGACACAGGTGGTGAAGTGACCGCTCCTGCAGGAGTATCCTGATTACTGCTACAACACTACTTTTACTGCAGTGTTGTAGCAGTAGCAAGTCTCCGTGCTTTCTCCGGTGATCACTGGGGGCTTCTAATGCCACAAGACTATTCTGAATGCTACTGAAAGACTAATCTGACTGCTGTTAAAAGCATTCCCTTGTTGTTGCTAGTGCTGCTACAAGAGTGCTCTTACTGCTGCTATAAGGGTACTCTTTTTCCTGATAAAAGAGTACTTACCGTTGCTGAAAAGTACTCAAGCAAAACAACGTAATGTAATAAGCTCGAACTCACGGCCACTCAGTCCTCCAAACAGGAGACCAGCGTGTTATCTACTGTACAACTGGTAACGCACCACCCTGGAGCGTAAAGTGGAACGTTATTTTATCCATCGTCGTAAAACCATCTTGTGTGACGCAGCATGAAAAAACCATCTTGTGTAACGAAGAATAAGAGGACAACCCATCCTGTCTGATGGTGTTGAAATAAAAAATGCTATCATGTGTAATGGAGCAGGGAAGCATAGCAAACTTTTCTCCCCTACAAAGTGACTATCATATAGAAACTAATAGTCGCAAGCTGCGACTGTGTTTAATCCCTGTTAATATTAAATATGAGTTACCTTGGATCTGGAAATAGGAATTACCTTGTAAATATATGGTATACAATACCGACAAGATGAGAAATTAGACACGTGTGTAACATCTGGGTATCTTAATTGTAGACATTTCGCCAACCAGTGGCTTTATCAATACAAGTTCAATGACATAATTGGAAGATTGTAGAACTATATATAAAAGATGAGATAATCAGTCCCTCAGTCTTGGAGTTGGTGAAGAGCACCGTAGTTGTAAAGAGTCTGGAGCACAGATTGGTGCTTAAATACTGGCGTCAAGTAAAGGACGTGTAGCAGACGAAGGCATTGTCGGAGGACATTTTCACAAACTTAAGTACTACGAGCCCATCCCTGGGGTATGACCTCTGCCACTGGGATATCCCACCTACCAGTGACAATGTTTTCATCTGCTTCCCGTCCCTCACCTGACGTCAAGTATATATGCGCCAATCTTTATCCCTATGCTCCAGATTTTTCAGGACTACGGTGCTGTACACCAACTCCAAGACTGAGGGACTGATTATCTCATCTTTTGTATATAGTTCTACTGTCTTCCAGTTATGTCCTTGAATTTGTATTGATGAAGCCACTGGAGGGCGAAACGTCTACAATTAAGATACCCAGATGTTGCACATGCGTCTAATTCTCCAGGAATTACCTTGAACCTGGGTATCTAGGTGTGCCACCATCTCCTTGAGGGCACGGGCACACTCCTTGCGATCCTCAAGACTGATGGCTGGGTTCTTCACACGGAAGAGGTTGGTAATGACCCAGCAGACCTGACGGCGCAGTGCTAGCTGAAGGGAAGGAGTTAGAGGGGATTTAGTGAATAGAGGAATTAATGAGGGGAAGTTAGTGAGGGTAGGAGTGAGAGGGAAGTTAGTTATGCATTGACAAGGAGGGATGAGGCAGGAGAGTCAAAACAATTCATTACCTTGAAACAAATCACTGATTCTGTCCAGGGCGGATCGAAATGTCGTATATTTTGTCTCTAATTTGTGGGAGGTTGTTGTGGGGTTATTCTTGGGGGGTTAAAGTGGTTCTGAGAAAGCACACTCCCCCTCCCTTTTTTTTTTTTTTACATAGATCAGTTTTACAAGGTAAGAGTTGTCGTCCAACCTCAGCTCATAACCTGCATTTTTGATTACTTTGTGTTTGGATTTAGTACATAAACATTCCCTCTTCTCAAACTGCACACTCTGATCTCACGGATCGGATCAACAACATCGTAACTAACCCATACGGGTTTAGCCCTTCGTGAGATACAGCAGAGTGCACTCCCTCGTTCTTACTGGCATGGTAGTGTGGAGGAGGTTGACCAGGGGCCTGACGATGCCCTCCTTCAGTGCCCTGTCTCTGTACTCTGCTCCGTCGCCCACGATGTTGCCCAGCGCCCACACTGCTTGCTCCTTGACGGCCACGTCCGGGGAGGAGAGTAGACGTACTAGCACGCCCACGGCCCCCGCATCTGTCAGGGTGAAAAATGATTGAGTGAACAGGAATTTTGTTCACTTAAGAGCCCTTTCTTGAAGGCGTTTCAGTCTTTGAATTTTGTATCAAGAGTAAAGGAGTCGTAAGTCGTAAGTAAAGGAGTCGTAAGTCGTAAGTAAAGGAGTCGTAAACCCTCATTTACGAACCAATCATTAATTATAACTAGGAAGTGATTCTTTTGACTGGCCAGAAGATAGTAACTTGGAACTAATGATAGCCAATTATTTCCAGGATACTTTCTCTTGCAAGTTTATGAGACACAGTGTCAACAACGTACCGACGAGGGCGCGTGTGTACTGAGAAGGTCCAGAAGCGATGTTGGTCACAGCCCAGGCTGCCTCCACCTGCAACTCCGGGCTGAAACATGAACGCAAGCGTCACTGAAATATTACCGTGGAAGCTGAGCTCACACGGCGTAAGCCGGCGCAGGCCCTAAACAGCATCAACAGCAACACATTTTGCAACATAAATGGATCAAAAACACAGGGTTAAAAAACTGAAGGACAGTACATACATAGGCAGAAGAAAGAAAAAGTAAAGAAGAGGTAGAAAAAGGATTCATACCAGGAAAGTTGTGTATAAAGAATGCATTCCTTATAGACAGCTTTCCTTGCGTAAATATTAATCCTAACTTGGTCGCTGCAAATGCCTTCTTTTCTCATTTGATTATCAGTGTTTCAAACTTCAGAACACTCGTGACTTAACTTGATCCTTTCTTCTCTGTCTTTCTATACCTAATTTCCTTTCCCTTTTTTTCCATTTTCTTATGTTTTCTTTCTCCTGGCTAAATATGAATGGATGTAAACACAAAATACCTACGTTTCATCTAGCCCTCTCCATCCCTTTCTTGTTCACTCTAGCCCTCTCCATCCCTTTCTTGTTCACTCTAGCCCTCTCCATCCCTTTCTTGTTCACTCTAGCCCTCTCCATCCCTTTCTTGTTCACTCTAGCCCTCTCCATCCCTTTCTTGTTCACTCTAGCCTTCTCCATCCCTTTCTTGTTCACTCTAGCCTTCTCCATCCCTTTCTTGTTCACTCTAGCCTTCTCCATCCCTTTCTTGTTCACTCTAGCCTTCTCCATCCCTTTCTTGTTCACTCTAGCCTTCTCCATCCCTTTCTTGTTCACTCTAGCCTTCTCCATCCCTTTCTTGTTCACTCTAGCCTTCTCCATCCCTTTCTTGTTCACTCTAGCCCTCTCCATCCCTTTCTTGTTCACTCTAGCCCTCTCCATCCCTTTCTTGTTCACTCTAGCCTTCTCCATCCCTTTCTTGTTCACTCTAGCCTTCTCCATTACTTTCTTGTTCACTCTAGCCTTCTCCATCCCTTTCTTGTTCACTCTAGCCCTCTCCATCCCTTTCTTGTTCACTCTAGCCCTCTCCATCCCTTTCTTGTTCACTCTAGCCCTCTCCATCCCTTTCTTGTTCACTCTAGCCTTCTCCATCCCTTTCTTGTTCACTCTAGCCTTCTCCATCCCTTTCTTGTTCACTCTAGCCTTCTCCATCCCTTTCTTGTTCACTCTAGCCTTCTCCATCCCTTTCTTGTTCACTCTAGCCTTCTCCATCCCTTTCTTGTTCACTCTAGCCCTCTCCATCCCTTTCTTGTTCACTCTAGCCCTCTCCATCCCTTTCTTGTTCACTCTAGCCCTCTCCATCCCTTTCTTGTTCACTCTAGCCCTCTCCATCCCTTTCTTGTTCACTCTAGCCCTCTCCATCCCTTTCTTGTTCACTCTAGCCTTCTCCATCCCTTTCTTGTTCACTCTAGCCTTCTCCATCCCTTTCTTGTTCACTCTAGCCTTCTCCATCCCTTTCTTGTTCACTCTAGCCCTCTCCATCCCTTTCTTGTTCACTCTAGCCCTCTCCATCCCTTTCTTGTTCACTCTAGCCCTCTCCATCCCTTTCTTGTTCACTCTAGCCTTCTCCATCCCTTTCTTGTTCACTCTAGCCTTCTCCATCCCTTTCTTGTTCACTCTAGCCCTCTCCATCCCTTTCTTGTTCACTCTAGCCCTCTCCATCCCTTTCTTGTTCACTCTAGCCCTCTCCATCCCTTTCTTGTTCACTCTAGCCTTCTCCATCCCTTTCTTGTTCACTCTAGCCTTCTCCATCCCTTTTTTGTTCACTCTAGCCTTCTCCATTCCTTTCTTGTTCACTCTAGCCCTTCCATCCCTTTCTTGTTCACTCTAGCCCTCTCCATCCCTTTCTTGTTCACTCTAGCCCTCTCCATCCCTTTCTTGTTCACTCTAGCCTTCTCCATCCCTTTCTTGTTCACTCTAGCCCTCTCCATCCCTTTCTTGTTCACTCTAGCCTTCTCCATCCCTTTCTTGTTCACTCTAGCCCTCTCCATCCCTTTCTTGTTCACTCTAGCCTTCTCCATCCCTTTCTTGTTCACTCTAGCCCTCTCCATCCCTTTCTTGTTCACTCTAGCCTTCTCCATCCCTTTCTTGTTCACTCTAGCCCTCTCCATCCCTTTCTTGTTCACTCTAGCCTTCTCCATCCCTTTCTTGTTCACTCTAGCCCTCTCCATCCCTTTCTTGTTCACTCTAGCCTTCTCCATCCCTTTCTTGTTCACTCTAGCCCTCTCCATCCCTTTCTTGTTCACTCTAGCCTTCTCCATCCCTTTCTTGTTCACTCTAGCCCTCTCCATCCCTTTCTTGTTCACTCTAGCCTTCTCCATCCCTTTCTTGTTCACTCTAGCCCTCTCCATCCCTTTCTTGTTCACTCTAGCCTTCTCCATCCCTTTCTTGTTCACTCTAGCCTTCTCCATCCCTTTCTTGTTCACTCTAGCCTTCTCCATCCCTTTCTTGTTCACTCTAGCCTTCTCCATCCCTTTCTTGTTCACTCTAGCCCTCTCCATCCCTTTCTTGTTCACTCTAGCCCTCTCCATCCCTTTCTTGTTCACTCTAGCCCTCTCCATCCCTTTCTTGTTCACTCTAGCCCTCTCCATCCCTTTCTTGTTCACTCTAGCCCTCTCCATCCCTTTCTTGTTCACTCTAGCCTTCTCCATCCCTTTCTTGTTCACTCTAGCCTTCTCCATCCCTTTCTTGTTCACTCTAGCCTTCTCCATCCCTTTCTTGTTCACTCTAGCCCTCTCCACCCCTTTTCTTTTCACTCTAGCCCTCTCCATCCCTTTCTTGTTCACTCTAGCCCTCTCCATCCCTTTCTTGTTCACTCTAGCCTTCTCCATCCCTTTCTTGTTCACTCTAGCCTTCTCCATCCCTTTCTTGTTCACTCTAGCCCTCTCCATCCCTTTCTTGTTCACTCTAGCCCTCTCCATCCCTTTCTTGTTCACTCTAGCCCTCTCCATCCCTTTCTTGTTCACTCTAGCCTTCTCCATCCCTTTCTTGTTCACTCTAGCCTTCTCCATCCCTTTCTTGTTCACTCTAGCCTTCTCCATCCCTTTCTTGTTCACTCTAGCCCTCTCCATCCCTTTCTTGTTCACTCTAGCCCTCTCCATTCCTTTCTTGTTCACTCTAGCCCTCTCCATCCCTTTCTTGTTCACTCTAGCCTTCTCCATCCCTTTCTTGTTCACTCTAGCCCTCTCCATCCCTTTCTTGTTCACTCTAGCCTTCTCCATCCCTTTCTTGTTCACTCTAGCCCTCTCCATCCCTTTCTTGTTCACTCTAGCCTTCTCCATCCCTTTCTTGTTCACTCTAGCCCTCTCCATCCCTTTCTTGTTTCACTCTAGCCTTCTCCATCCCTTTCTTGTTCACTCTAGCCCTCTCCATCCCTTTCTTGTTCACTCTAGCCTTCTCATCCCTTTCTTGTTCACTCTAGCCCTCTCCATCCCTTTCTTGTTCACTCTAGCCTTCTCCATCCCTTTCTTGTTCACTCTAGCCCTCTCCATCCCTTTCTTGTTCACTCTAGCCTTCTCCATCCCTTTCTTGTTCACTCTAGCCCTCTCCATCCCTTTCTTGTTCACTCTAGCCTTCTCCATCCCTTTCTTGTTCACTCTAGCCCTCTCCATCCCTTTCTTGTTCACTCTAGCCTTCTCCATCCCTTTCTTGTTCACTCTAGCCCTCTCCATCCCTTTCTTGTTCACTCTAGCCTTCTCCATCCCTTTCTTGTTCACTCTAGCCCTCTCCATCCCTTTCTTGTTCACTCTAGCCTTCTCCATCCCTTTCTTGTTCACTCTAGCCCTCTCCATCCCTTTTTTGTTCACTCTAGCCTTCTCCATCCCTTTCTTGTTCACTCTAGCCCTCTCCATCCCTTTCTTGTTCACTCTAGCCTTCTCCATCCCTTTCTTGTTCACTCTAGCCCTCTCCATCCCTTTCTTGTTCACTCTAGCCTTCTCCATCCCTTTCTTGTTCACTCTAGCTCTCTCCATCCCTTTCTTGTTCACTCTAGCCCTCTCCATCCCTTTCTTGTTCACTCTAGCCCTCTCCATCCCTTATTTGTTCACCCTAGCCTTCTCCTGCTATACCTAGCTCTTATCTACCCTATCCCCCAGCTCTTTAAATCTCTTACTTCTCACTCTTGCCCATGCACTCGACTAAGGGAGGCAATATGCCGGCATTGATGAACTGGCTGATGGGAGGCTTGTCAGAGGAGAGCAACACCCTCGCCTTCTCCGTGTTGGCCAGCTGTCGACGACGATCTCCGCTACGGATACCTTCCACGATGTCATCCACTTCATCAGAGATGTCATCCTCTTCCTCCTCCACTTCTTCTTCTCCAGCTTCTTCCTCTCCCACTGCCTCTTCGTTTTCCTCTTTAACCTTGAAAGTTGTTTTGGTATGTCAGTGTTTTGAAAAATACGTAAATAAGCAAGAAAGAAAATTTCTTCGGGTACATTACACAGTTTAAGATATTTACAATTATCGTACATAGTAAATATGTGTAAATTATTTAGGATAACCCGATAAAGAAAAAAATGACTCATATTCATTGCTTTTTGTATTGCATGATCATCATATAGTCAACATTATATATTCATTATTATATGTTGATCCGGGGAAAGGATGACCACCTCAAAACTTTAAGGGTGATGGACTGATTACATCGTCTTCAAGTCTCTTCTGCTTCTATCAACTTTTCTGTACTCGACTGAAGAAGCTTACTGTGTAGGCGAAACGTTTCAAAATAAAGATACCTAACTGTTGCATATGTGTCTTACCTAACATCCTTGAAGGATGTTATCGTCAGAAATAAGTTAAATGACAGGGGCCACGCCCTTCCTTATTCACACTTTACCTTGCCGTCATCAGCAGGGAGACTCTCTCTTGCTTCCACATCCTGTCACAGGAGAACACAAGCAGCGATTAATATGGAGGAGTGGTTGGCTAATGGGGGAGTTTAAAGCCTATCGGCTACACGATAGGCTGTGCAGTACCAGTCAGGAATACTTTCATCACTAAAACAGGGATTTAGGTAAACTCTCAGTGTATATAGATAGATATACATCTTTCAGTGCATTACGCTGATAGATATACATCTCTTAGTGTATTATATTAATAGACATGCACCTCTCAGCGTCTATATGCTGATAGACACCCACACCTATCAGTGTGTATAAGGTGATAGACACACACCTCTCAGTGTACATTCGCTGATCGACATAACACTTCTGAGTGTTGCTGAAAATTGTATTACCGACAACAGCTGGTATCATCAATAAAGTTACCCAGCTGTTGCACATGTGCCTCAGTCTTCCACTTCTCAGTGTATATATCGTTCGTAAGTAATGTATCATCTAAAGATAACGTGACATATCAATAACAGTTGACCGGTGGCCGGTGGCCTGGTGGCTAAAGCTCCCGCTTCACACACGGAGGGCCCGGGTACGATTCCCGGCGGGTGGAAACATTTCGACACGTTTCCTTACACCTGTTGTCCTGTTCACCTAGCAGCAAATAGGTACCTGGGTGTTAGTCGACTGGTGTGGGTCGCATCCTGGGGGACAAGATTAAGGACCCCAATGGAAATAAGTTAGACAGTCCTCGATGACGCACTGACTTTCTTGGGTTATCCTGGGTGGCTAACTCTTCGGGGTTAAAAAATACGAACGAAATCTTATCTGCAATTGTTAATTTTACTGAGAATTTAATCCCCTTACGCGGAATCCCATCATTTATACTCAGGTTTTTCAATCCATGTTTCCTTGTCTGCAAGATAGTGCAGTTACTGGCTCATCTATGCTTTTGTTTAGTTTACGCTACACTTTTTTTTTTTTGCAAGTTACCCACAAGCTCCTTTTCTGCATTTTCTTCTAATATTAAAAATTACGTAGTTTTCTTTGTATGAGAATATAACTAACGTAACCCTGATTTATATATATATATATATATATATATATATATAATATATATATAATATATATATATATTATATATATATATATATATATATATATATATATATATATATATATATATATATATATATTTTATATATATTTTATATATATATATATATATTATATATATATATATACACACACACACACACCTGAGGGTTGTCAGTGGTGTCCGGAGGCTGCCTGTCTTGTGGTCGGAGCGTCGGCTCCTCCACGTGAGGTGGAGGTGAGTGCTTCTTCTGAGGTGTTATTGTCGCCTCTTGTTCCTCCTTCTCGTCGTGGTCTTCCTGCGCAGGTTTCTGCCGGGTGAAGGGGAGGCATAAGTCGCTTTACAGAGAAGAAAGTATGGTAGAGTGCGACACAAGTCACTTGGACCCAAAGAAAGTAGCTACCCGGGAAATGGGAAGCATGCAGGTGCGATCCGAGGAAGGGGAGTTCAGGGCCAAACCCTTGAATCAAGGACCTCAGTCAAGGGTTTGTGAATCAAGGGACTGTGAATCAAGGGACTGTGAATCAAGGGACTGTGAATCAAGGACCTGGCCTCTCTCAGGTCCACCTCACCTTCAGCGTCTCCTCCATCGCCTCCTGCATCCTCTGCTGTATTCTTTGTTGCTCTAGGTGTTCCTGCTTCTGCTGCTTCCGAAGCTGGTGCTCCTTCTTCTGCTGCAGCAGCTGCTGCATCTGCTGCATCTGCTGCTGCATCAACAGATGTATCTCCATGGTCATCTGCTTGTGCATCTGGTTGAGGTGTTCTATTGTGGCTGGGCTGGACAGCTGCCCCTCCTTATCCTCCTTCAGCTGCTGAATCTTCTGCTGTCTCTGCTGCTGCTGCAGCTGCTTCAGCTCGTGCTGCTGTTGCTTTTGTTGCTGATGTTGCTGTTTCTTTTGCTCAAGCTGCTGCTGTTGCTGCTGTCTCTGCTCGTGCCTCTGCTGCTGCTTTTCCTGCAGCTGCTGCCGTCTCTGCTGGATGTGAGTGTCCTGTCTCATCGGCTGCTGCTGCTTCTTCTGTTGCTGCTGCTTCTGTTGTTGCTGTTGCTGCTGCTTCTGCTGCTGCTGCTTCTGCTGTTGTTGAGGCTGAAGTTTTTTGATCATCGGCAGACGATTAATGCTGTTTTTGTGGGTTCTGTTGGTAATAATAATAATAATAATAATAATAATAATAATAATAATAATAATAATAATAATAATAATAATAATAATAATAATAATAATAATGAGACAAAAGCAAACTAGAACAATAAATCGTAATTCACGAGTAAGCCACAATACCTTCACAGGAACAATTCACAACTAACCCACAATACCTTTAGAGGAACAATTCACAACTAACCCACAATACCTTGACAGGAACAATTCACAACTAACCCATAATACCTTGACAGGAACAATTCACAACTAACCCATAATACCTTGACAGGAACAATTCACAACTAACCCATAATACCTTGACAGGAACAATTCACAACTAACCCATAATACCTTGACAGGAACAATTCACAACTAACCCATAATACCTTGACAGGAGCAATTCACGTTCATTCTGCAAACTTAAAGTTGAAACTAAAGAAGTTTTGGGTTCGTCCTGAGAGATTAAGACGACTTGATAATGAAGGCTTCTGTCTTCAGTTTTAGTCACCTCGCTACTCAAGTGAAGAAACCTATTATGTAAGCGAAACGTTTCGTAAATGAAGACACCAGAGTGTCGCACATTATATCTTATTCACCAACTGTGTGCGCATTTTATTTTGTTGTTGGCCCCAGTGGAAATAAATCACTTTGTCTTACTTTTTTTCTTGGGGGGGGGGGGTTATACTAGGTAATTTAAACATGTATGGTAATTGTGGTTATGTGTACCTGTGTCTAAATAAAGTTACTTACTTAGACCTCCAGTACTAGTCTGGAATTAGTTTAATAAAGAGAACTGGATACTTACTGGAGGGGCGAGAGTCTGACGCTGGAGGTGTTGGGCTGTTGATTAGTTGGGTGTCTCTCCAGCTTCTCTTTCTCCTTCCAGTGTGGGGATAGAGACATCCTGGAGGGCTTGTCGTTAGTGTGGCTGCTGGCGGGGGTGCTGCCGGGGCTGCTGGAGGGGGTGCTGCCGGGGCTGGGAGCGATGAGAGGCAAGCGTCGGCTTTGAATCATAGCTTCCAGTCGTTCTCGACGTTCGCGAATCGATTTGAGCTGTGTGAAGAATGGGTTTGATGAGGGTGTTGCAATCGTCAGGAAAATATATTCACCTGACACGGATCTCTGCCATAAAATGATCCGTTCAGTGGAATATATATCCAATGTTTTGCATACGCTGTCAACATTCTTTGACGAAAATTAAAGCTGATGTGGATTTTTGGAAAAGATGGAGAAATATGAGTTAGAGAAAGTTGGATTTGAGAAGTATCTGGCTTGGAATTTAACCAAGAAACCCGCATTTAGGACAGGAAACTTGTGATGACGTTTCTGTCTGTCCTCACCAATTGTCAAGTCCCAACTGATGACAGGAATAGTAGAGAAGGCCACAGGAAAATACGATAAGGGCGGGGGAAGACTGGACCGGTATAGTAGTAGTGGTGGTGGTGGTGGTGGTGGTGGTGGTGGGTGGTGGTGTGGTGGTGGTGGTGTGTGGTTGGTGGTGGTGTGGGGGTGGTGGTGATGGTGATGGTGGTGGTGGTGATGGTGGTGGGTGGTGGTGGTGGTGGTGGTGGGTGATGGTGGGGTGGTGGTGGTGGTGGTGGTTGGTGGTGGTTTATGGTTGGTGGTGGTGGTGGTGGTGGTGGTGGGATGGTGGGTGATGGTGGTGGTGGTGGTGATGGTGGTGATGGTGGTGGTGGTGATGGTGTGGTGGTGGTGGTGATGGTGGTGATGGTGGTGGATGTGGTGATGGTGGTGGTGATGGTGGTGGTGGTGATGGTGGTGGTGGTGTATGGTGGTGATGTTATTGTGGTGGTGGTGGTGATGGTGGTTGGATGGTGTGATGGTGGTGGGTGATGGTTGGGTGGTGGTGGGATGGTGGTGGTGGTGATGGTGGTGGTGGTGATGGTGGTGGTGGGTGATGTGGTGGTGGTTGGTGATGGTGGTGGTGGTGATGGTGGTGTGTGGTGGTGGTGGTGGTGATGGTGGTGGTGGTGATGGTGGTGGTGGTGATGGTGAGGGTGTGGTGGGG